TCCTCTCTTGTAAGAGATGGTACAAAAAACTAGAGCAAATGAGATCTACTTAAAGAAGAGAGGAAGCACTTGAAGGGAGGCGGGTCCTAGAAACCAGCCGTGCTTCTAGACTACATTGCCAGAGGGGAATTGTGGTTTCATAGGGACACTGAGGAGAACGTAACAAAAACCTACTACGGTAATAGTTTATCATTTATATTGAGAAAGCCTTGCAGAACCTGAATGAACTGAAAGTTCCAGGTTAGCTCTTTTATTTAAATTTTATGCTGTTCCAACTGAAAATAGATGGGTTATTTTTGGTATGAAAATTAGATCTAATAAAAATGTAAAAAATATATATATTTACTTTCATGGTAAAATATATATCTACTTAAAAGTTAGAAAAATGCCTAACCATCTAACAAAGCAACAAAAAAGCAAAATAAAAATCTTCAAACATAAAAAAGCTATTCTTTGGAATATTAGGTCAATCAGGTATATTCATAATTCAGGGTCATTACCTATTTACATTTTTAATGAAGAAATATTGCTTTTATTCAAATAAATATCAAAACTTAAATAAAACTGATAAAATTAGAGCATTTTCTAAATTGGGTTCATAATACGTTTCAGCAGATGAAAAATGTGATACTATCTCCATCACAATGAAGCTATTACCTATTTTTTCAAATCCTATTAAAACAGACCTATAAAGAAAAATAAATATATAAATGGGTCCAAGGGACCTATCAGTCACTATGACTGTTCTGGCACATATCATCATTAAATCTTTTTTTAAGTATTTCTTCTTCAGTCCAGTGGCCATAACAGCGGCCAGGATCAGTTCTATGGGTCCCCCGGACGCATTACTCCTAATCCGGTCCTGGCTGCTACAAATGAGAAAAGTTTCAAGCAGAAGCTGTTTACTGTGGTGAAAGATTCATAAGGAACCTGATTTGAAGAGAGGGGTTGTTGGTTTAATGTTTTACTGTTTAAGGTGGGGGTAAAAGAAACCCATTTGTTTTTCTACCACTTCCATTGTTCATATTTTTTATGTTTATTGTTCTTTGTAAACACTCAAACCTGTTTTCCTGCTGTTTCTCTCTGGATGTTTTCCAACTAGTATAATTCCCTCACTGGTATATGTGTGTCACTGTTTTTTTTGCACATAGTTCCTTCCCACACATGAGCATTCTGTGCATTAAAACATAGTATGTCTTACAACAATAGTTCATTGTTTTCTAAGATGATGAACATCTCAAGCATTAAAGGAATGTAAAGAAATGTGAGAGTACTGCTGGATCCTGTCCAACGATGCAGCATGTATTAAATGAAAAATCAAAGGCTTTATTGATTTTTTGAAACCCAGGGTTATATTACATGCAAAGAGCTTATTGATAATTTCTAGTTTATCTTCAATTTTATACCAACAACATACAGCTATGTGTCATAATAATGCGACCAATAAATGTTAGATTTTCTCATCTATATAGCTTAATCGTCACTGCACAATAGGCTATTAGAGCAGTTGAAAATAATTTCAAGGGGTAACTTTTCAGTAACTGATCAAAAATTGGAAAATGCTTACAGTGTTTTGAAATTCTCAGCCTTTTAAATGAATCTGTTTGTTCAAAATAAAAATATGTTTAAAAACTTTCAAGTTGTGAAATGTGATTGTGCTTTGACTGAAACCAACAGGTCATAAGCAATGCCCTAGTTTATTTAAAACATTCTTGTTGACAAGGATTAGTTAAGTAATGTAAAGAATGAGGGCTTGGATAAAAACCAGTCAGATGAAAATCTTAGATTTTAACATCTAGATGTCTGCTTGAAATCTAGATGTTTTATGACCCTGTTGTATCACGATGCTCAGAAATACTTTTTGAGTTTAGTCTCAGTTTGTTGTTTTTGAGAGACTAACTTTAGCCTCCTTTCTGCAAGAAATAGTTTTGTTTCTCATCAAAACTAAAATGTTTTGGTGTCAGAATTGTGTTATCTTTAAAGTTTTCCAGGCAGTGTCTCCTCTGTAATTGTGTGATTCATTTAATGACTTTGCAAGATTAACACTATATGCTCCCACCTGTATAGCCACTACTGTCTCTCCAGAAGAAGATTAGAAAAATGCTGACTAGTCTTCAGTAACTTAAGACCTTACTTTAAGTTAGGCCTCTGGCTGTTTTTTTTTTTTTTTAACAGTGTTGGGATCTGGAGGTCTGTCCACCTTTCTCCAGCAGAGGGCGCCCTGGGTCTCCTGGAGCTGAAGGCTGACGACCACACCTGCGGCTCTTTGGCTCATCAGGAGCCCAGCATTTAAGCAGCGGCAGGACAACACTCCAGTGCCAGAGTGTTAAGCCAGTTATGGTTAGCAAGCCTGAGCCAACCAGCCTGTCTGATTCTCTGACTCTCCTGAAAACCAGAATCTGAATCTAACCAGTTTTTGTCCTCTCTGCTTCTTAGGAAGAAACCTGACTGAACCCTGGAACTCTGGAAGAGTTTCTCAGCTGAAACCTGTGTGACCAGTCCTGGATCTGTTTCCCCAGCTTCAAGTTTGTTAACTTTGTGTTTTTTTTCAATAAACAGTCAAACTTTTCATCTGACTCCATTTGTGTTCTGCATGTGGGTTAGGAACCTTAATCCCATCATGACAGAACACTCTGGCCAACAACCTAACCCAGCAGTCCACCTCCGGAGGATGATTGAGGAACAAGGAGTTTTGATCCAAGGCCACGACTCCACCCTCCGTGAGTTTAACACACGTCTGGAACAACAAAATCAAACTTTACAGGAATTAGCCGGCTATCTCAGCAATGCTACTCCCAGAGCGGAGCCAGCTCAACTTCCGGTTCCGGAGCCAGATCCGCCTCAAAGGTCAGAACCTGTTCCGTCATTTCCGGAATTCCGTCCGTCACTTCCTTAGAAGTTCACAGGCATTACGAGTAAGAATCTGTTATTTTAAAGAATCTGCTTCACTTTCTCTCTCCTCTGTGTC